GAATCACCTTCACCACCCATGGAAGGTGATTTGACCTTTTGTTGAGTCATAATCCGTCATGTCATGTATGAGTAAACAGTATGAGGGTGTACTCCCATTGGTGTTTTACCTTGTACAAATTTCGGCAAGTTGGGTTTCAGAGGAATTCGCAGGTTGAGATTTTGAGTTCCCTTGGCGACGACGACGCGCGTCGCGAGCGGGCGCGACAGTGCGGGACTCCCGCTACGAATCGTTATGTAACACTACACGCGCGCACTACATTACTTCATGACTCGTCATGCATGACTCTCCCAACCGGTGATATATAAATTTTTGACTCGGAAAACTTTATATCTCACCGCTTGGGAGAGTCCCTACATGACTGACGAGTCATGATTCGTCGACGAACCTCTGAAGCCGTGAAATATAAATTTTTCCAATTTCAAGCAGGCGGCGGCTCTCTTCGAGGGGGGTGCTAGGGGGGCGTGGCTAAATCTCAGTCCGAAGTAACTTTTTATCGCTCGCATACATCGTATTTAACATATATTAAAACCTGTCTAAATATATAAAAATACATTTTAATACAATTGCGTAGTATATTATCTATTCAAGGCATTATCCCTCTGAACCGTTCCGCCGGACCTTGGGTGGATGATTTTCCAATTCAGCGAATGAGCGTTCTCGCGTTAAACTATTGAAATTGCCATTCTAAAACTTGTATATGCGTAAACAGTATGGGGTCCTAGGGTACTGTCATACGCGTTCCCGGGTGTTTTCACCTTGTGCAAAAATTTGACATGTTCTCACAACACTCGATACATATGCACACATAACGCGCTCGACAGGCATCCAGAAAGCGTACGCCCTTTGCTGCATGTAGTACTCATCTCATAATTCCTTGTTGACGGCTTTTTTTCTAAAGAAATCGGTCATCGAGTGCACACGACTGACCAAACTCACTCTGACACGCAGGAGAGAGAAAACGTCTTGAACCCTGCCAAACCCTAAGTAGGGTTGATGGCATCTGCTCGTTACGTGCGATGCAAGCTCACAGCGTGGTTCAACGGATACGAGAGGAACGTAAGTCATTGAAAGTGTTTCTCGGAAGCCACAACGCGGATCAAAAGGGCACGTCGAGCGCTTGCGCGCGTAATACACGCGCGAGATGAATACGACTAAACCCTGACCAGGGTTTAGTCGGGGTTTAGCCAGGGTTTGGGCGTTGCTTCTCGAGAGCTCGGCGTTGAGGCACCAGGAACGCGAGTGACTGCGTGAGGACGTCACTCTGTCTATCGCATGGCATAACGGCCGGATGAATACCATGCATCATAAGTGCGTCTACAAGTATTCATCGACACGCGCAATCCTGGTGCCATCCGAGCGCGTTATCCACGCACATGCGGCGCGTGTTGCGAAAACTCGTCAAATTTTGCGCAAGGTAGAAACACCCGGGACGCAGCGGACCGGGTGTGGGGTGCCTCTCACAGATGTGAGTCCTGAGTCGTCGTATGTGAATGAATTTTCGACAGATTTATCGCTGTTTGATACTTTAGAAATTCAATACAGTATACATTGGTCAATTGATAAAAAGTTACTTCGGACTGAGATTTAGCCACGCCCTGCTAGGGTTAGAACAGTGACACAATGTACTCATCATCACTGTATTTCCTCGAAACCGGTGACGAAATGTCGTATTATCAGTCACGTGATTACTATCAGTGTCAATACCAGCAAATGATAGGCTTTACATACACTCAATATGAAATCACCTTCTAAATCACCTTAAGGTGATTTGAAATCACCATCACCACCCATTGAAGGTGATTTACCCAACCTAGCGGTGTGTCTTCCACACATCGTCGTATTCGACGTGGTATACGACACATAACATCGTACGTCACGGTCGTGTAAAGCCATGTATGGCGTCACTGAGGACGGCGCGTGTACAGACAGGCTCGATCGGGCTTGTATATGATGAAGACTGTTCGCCCACACGAATACGCGCGTTGCCCGCATCGCGCGACGTCCCGCGTCGCGACGGCGTCGACGCCCGAGCGCGACGCGCGCGCGATCGGACGATGGATCGCACGCGGGCCGAGGCGTCGACGGAGGAGACGTACCCTGGGGTGCCGGGGATACCGCGCGCGGACGTCGACGCGTTTTTGTCGCGACTCGATGATTGTCAACCGGTGGTGCGCGCGCGAGGACGACGACGCGGGCGCGCGCGACGCGATCGACGCGCGCGTGGACGAAGGGGATCGAGCGCGTCGTGGGGTGGGACTGACGATGGGCGATGGCGCGGTGACGTAGATTCCGGATGAGCTGACGAATCATTACCTGAAGCGCGCGGGGGTGCGCGAGCCGGACGTGCGCGTCACGCGATTGATCTCGCTCGTCACGGAACAGTTCGTGCAGTCGGTGGCGGACGATGCGTATCGATGTGCGGTACAGCGGCATCAGGCGCAGGCGAAGGATAAGCGGGAGAGAGGGTACGATACGAGGGATAAGCGCATCGTGCTGGAGAACGAGGACCTGGCGGCGGCGCTGAAGGACCACGGCGTGAACCTGCACAAACCGCCGTATTACGTCGGCGCGGCGCGCCCGGAGGAGGTCGAGGAACAGGAGGAGGCGGTGAAAGAGGAGCTTAACGAGGAACCGACTGAGAAGAAGAGACGATCGAATTGAAGGAGGCGCCGCGTTTGAGTGAATCGTTTTAATCATTCGAGTTTTTGTTCATAAAATCATCGTACATCGCAACGCTCGTAACGGCATCGCTTTCCACACACGCATCGCTCGCAATGTGTCCTTCCTCTCAACCTTGCGTCTTAGATTGTTGGAACTACGGATTTTGTCTCGCGTCAGTCTCTCGTACCCGCGCGCGTTTCGCTCTCGCTCGCGTCCGCGGTCGCGTCGCCTCACGCACGTTGATCGCGTAAATCGGAATCGCTGTTCCCAAGAAAACCACCGAGAATGTCGCCAATCCGAACACCAGCTTCCTGTTCTTCGTCGCCCCGACGTCGTACATGTGCTTTGCGTGGATGTACGCCTGCGCGCGAACACCGACGCGTCGTGTCCGCCCGTCAGTCTTTTCCCTCCCGTCGCGTCGTCCCCGCGAACCCGCTCGAGACGAAAGATCAACCGTCGCATCGCGCGTCGACTCCTCTCCGAGCTCGCCGTGCCGTTCGTCCTCGCGCGGAGATCGTTTTACATTCGACCCTAGCGCGAACGATCGCTCGACGATCTCCCGCTTCTCCGCGTCGTCGCGTCGCGCGCACCGGTTCGTCCGCGCCGCCGAGCGCGGTTCGCGATGTCGTGATTCCCCGTCGCGCGGTCGCGAGCGCGCCCCTGCGAAACGCGGCGTGGGCGGCGAACATGACGATGAAACCGTCAGAGACTGACGCATGGCGAATCGATGACGCCGGCGGAGTCGCGATTCGTGCGACACGGCGTCCCGTTCGTGGCGCTGGTCGTGATCGGATCGTTTGGTCTTCAGAAACTCGTCGCGGGGCGGTTGGAGGCGCGCGACGCGGCGAGGACGGTGGAGGACCCGCGGGCGCCGGCGCGCGCGCAGCGGAGGCGCCGGGCGCGGCGGGCGATGGACGTCGAGGGCGAGCATCGACGATTGATCGAGGGACGAGAGAGCGAGGCGACGTATGAGATGAAACCGGTGTGGAGACCGCCCGGGGTGGAGGGTGGGCACTAGATTGATCGCTGTTGTAAAGTTACACGCTGTATCGCTATCGATAAACGCGGCTAAAACGCTAGTAAATAAAATTCAACGCGGCGCGGACACGACGTCCTCTTCAGCGTCGCAATCGAATTCCTCTTCCGTGTCTTCATCATCGATATCGGGCCAATAGTTGTCCATGTCGTCTCGCGAACCCGGCGAATTGTACACGACGACGGAACGCTCGAATGGAATCGTGGAGCCCGTTCTCGAATCGTATCGACGACGAACGCGCTTGAACGCGACGCCCGTCGCCGCAGACCACCTCTGACGGATCGCGTCCGCGCTCTTACGATAGGCCCGGCGCTGCGCCTCGGACGTATTCCTCTTCTTGGCCTCCTCGCTCATCGCCCGACGCTGCTCCTCCAACTCCTCGGCTCGCTGCTCGATGCGTCGCTGACGCGCCTTCATGAACGACTGCGCCGCTTCGAACGGATCGACTATGTTCGTCTTGTTCGTCCCGCTCATCATGATTCCGACGCTCACCTTTTCAAAGTTCACCGCGACATGCTCGAGATACGGTAGATCGTCTCGCTTCACCCAGTGGATGCAGTCCACCGGACACGAGTCGATCGCCTGCTGAATGTCGTCCTCGTTGTTCAACCATTGAGCGAACACGCGAGACCGTCCGTAGTCTTCATTCATGCGAAAAGTCGCCGGCGCCGCCCACACACACTGTTTACACCCGATGCACGTGAACTCGTCCACGAACACCGCGCGATCCTCCCCCGGTTTCGCCCTTCGCGTCGTCCATTTCGAGTACGCGTTCCCCGTGAACGAATCCGCCGCGTCCATGCGCTGCTGCTCCAACTCCGCGTCGTACATCGCCCGCGACGCGGGATCGCTCAGAATTTCATACGCCTCATTCAACAGCACGCACATGTCGTGTCCATCCTCGTCGCCGCTCACATCCGGGTGACACTGCGTCGATCGAAGACGAAAATCAAACCCGTCAGTCGCCCCCCTAACCCATCTCTCCCGCCTCGCCGTCACCCGACGCCCGCGCGCGCGCCGCCCATCGCTCGACCACGCACCTCCTTGGCGAACCCGTAGTACGCCTTTTTGATCGTCCGCGCGTCCGCGTCGTCCGCCACCCCGAGGAGGTCGTAAAAGTCAACCATCGGTTCATTCTGCTCGAGCGCGAGCCCGCGCGCGCGGGGCGCTCGCCGTCGCGCGCGGCCGAACCGCGCCGTCGCGGGCGCGCGCGCGCGCGCGGCGCACGTCGCGCGCATCGCTCTCGGGCGTCGCCCAGTGCTGGGCGTCGCGCGCCTCGACCGGTGGCCGGCCTGGGATGCCGCGTCTGGGCCACGAGTCATGACTCGACGACGACCCCCCTCAGAGGGCTGTCGCGCCTCGGCATCCGCACCTCGCGACGCCGCGAGCACGACGGGCGACATGGACGCGAGCGCGGTGAAGAAGATGAAGGTTCAGGTGCGCGATCGATCGATCACGCCGCGTTCGCCCGCGATGGACGAGACGCGAGGGAGCATCGGAACGATCGAACGCGATTCGAATGGATTGGGCGATTTGTTGGATTGTAATTCTCGACCGAGACACTGACGACGGTTCGCACGCGATAGGAACTTCGGGACGAGCTGGAGAAACGTGGGTTGGACACCGCGGGGTTGAAGAACCAGTTGGTCGAACGCTTGGAGGAAGCGCTGGGTGGTGGCGATGGTGACGGCGACGCGGAGGAGGAGCTGGAGGACGTCCCGGACGTGGAGGTGTCCGCGGCGGACGCGGCCACGCTTAAAGAGCTCGAGAAGAAGGACGATGAGACGAAGGGAGCGGAAAGGAATGGGTCTGAAAAGAAGAAGGAACTTCCGAAGCCGAAGCCGACGAAGGAGGAGATCGAAAAGGCGAAGGCGGAGCGCAGAGCCGCGGCGGAGAAGGCTGAAGCCGAGCGTAAAGCCGCGGCGGAGAGGGCGAAGAAGGAAGCGGACGAGGCGTTCGTTAAGGATTTGGAGCGTAGAAAGGAGCGCGCGGAGAAGTTCAAACTTCCGTTTGCGCTGAGCGAACAAGAAAAGGCGCGGATTCGTAACGTCGGCGCCGAGGAGAAGTTTGGATTGGACAAAGCCGCGGACGCGTCCGTCAAGCCGGCGGAGAAGACCGCGGAACAAAAGGCTAAGGAAAAGGCTGATTTCGAGGCCAAGCTCAAGGCACGCGCCGAGCGCTTCGGTGACGCCCTCAAGCCGCTCCCGAAGCCGACTCCGATGTTTACGAACTCTAAGCGTCCGGGCGACTCAATCCCACAGCCTGTGGCGAAAAAGTAAAGGTCTTGACGACGCAAGCGAAATACTCATTACGTTGTAATCACAATCTCAAAGAGAGGCAAATCCTCGATTAATATCAAACTACACGCAGCTACCTAACTAGAATGTACAACACGAGCGCGGACGGAATTTATCTGTCATCCGCGAGCGAGGGCATCTTGGAAATGAGCGTAGACAGCACTTCAGTGCTCATCATCAACCCCTCGGGATCGGTCAAATGCAGTGATGAGCGGTGTCCTCGATCATTCACACCATAAACAGCGTAATCGGGCACGAATGGTTTTATCGCGTCGTGAATCTCGTCCACAACAGATGCGCCAAAGCGCTCGGTGACGTCCTCGAGATCGAGCCCGTCGCTCGTGCGTAACCGAAGCATCAGGTGTTCGAAGAGCGCATCCGAGCCGTCTCCACCCGTTGATATCACACCAACATCTTCACCTTTCTCGAGCGCGTTAACGTATGCGTAGTACTCATTCATCTTTCGCGGTCGCGCCATGCGCTCGCCGTCTACGTGCGACGTCGCACTCATGCCAAACCCGTACCAACCGCCGTTCTGCCAATAAATTTGGTTGTGCTTGCACCTTGCGCCAGGTTTTGCATACGAACTCACCTCGTAATGTTCGTAGCCGGCGGCTCGAAGCGCTGCGCTCGCTTCTCTGAACGCGTCCGCGCTTGCGTCTTCGCTCGGAAGCGCTGGCCTGCTTCCATCCTCCTTCGCATTCTCGCCGTACCATCGATAAAATGCCGTTCCCTTCTCCACCTGCAAATCATACACCGAGACGTGATCAGCACCGGACTCGATGACACGATCAAGAGACGCGCGCCACGTCTTCGCATCCACGCCCGGAAGACCTCCGATCAAATCCACGCTCCATCTCGGCACCCCGCACGAGCGCAACATCTCGATTGCCAACTCCGCCTCGCGGACGTCGTGCGAGCGACCGGCTCGTTTCAACACCTCGTCATCGAAGCTTTGCACCCCGAGCGAGACCCTGTTCACGCCCAAGTCTAAAAACCCTCTCAACTTGTCTTCGTTAAACGTGCCCGGATCCATCTCCGCGCTAATCTCCGCGCCGCTCGCGATGCCAAACTCCCGCCTCAACGTCCCCAAAATCTCCCCTAAAACGTCCACGGGCACTAAACTCGGTGTTCCACCGCCGAAAAATATCGTTTCCAGCGGTTTAATCCCACTCGCGCCGTATCTCTCTCGCATTCGCGTCGCCGTCGCCCGCGTCTCGCGCGTCACCGCCTCCGCGTACGCGCGCATCCCCTCGCTCGCATCCGTCCGCGTTCCGATCACCGATATCGCGAAATCGCAGTAATAACATCTCGATCGACAGAACGGCAGGTGCACGTACGCGCTCGTCGGCGCGCGCGTCGACGCTGGCAGTTTCGCTCGGTCTGCACTGAAACTTCGCACCACCGTCTTCAAGCGTCCGTGTGCGCGCGTTCGGACGTGCGCGAGCGCTCGCGCGGGCGCCAAACGCGTATGTATCATCACTTTCATCACAGCTCGCGATTCAAGCGCGCGCGCGCTCGGACGCGACGTGAAGCGTGACTTCGCGCGCGAGTGTGTGACGAATGGAAATTCACACACAATTCACCGCACTCCGCGGCGTCGCTGATCCGCCATGAACGCCCCGGAGTCCGACGACGACGAGTACGAGGTCGTCGGCTACGCCGGGGCGCGGAGCGAGGTCCCGGAGACGCTCAGAGAGGATGGGCGGCGACGAAATCCGTCGACGAATGCGTCGAGTGCGATTCCGCTCGTCGACGCACGCGCGCCGACGAGCGCGCGAAAGGCGCCGAAGGGGTTCGATTGGGACGACGCCGAGAGCGACGATGACGTTCCAGAAGGGCTGACGACGGTTGGGGAGGACGCGGAGGGGGTCGGGGTCGGGCGCGGGACGGCGACGCCGCCGGGCGCGTCGACGCCGTCGACGCCGACGACGCCGCGACGAAGTCCGAGATTAGCGGAACGGAGCTCGGTCGGTGCAGCGGTCGGTGAGAACGGTGGGACGCCGTCGCCGAGGACGGCGGCGCGCAGGGCGCGAGACGCGGCGATCGTGGCGGAGGCGCTCGGCGTGAGCGCGGACAAAGCGCGGGCGGCGGCGCGAGCGATACGGGGCGGCGAGGCCGGGATGGCTGGGACTAAGACGAAGGCGAAGACGAAGGGAACGAAACGAGCGGCGCCCGGGACGAAGGCGAGAGGGCGAGCGGAGTCGTCGCCGAAGCGCGCGGCGAAACGCAGCAAGGCACCGCCGGCGAGAGCGAGCGGCGGCGTGCTCGGAAGATTGACGCTCCTGACGCAGGGCGTTTCTAGGCCGACGGCGGCACCGGGTGGGGCGAGTTCAAGCGCGCCGACGCCGAGCGCGCCGGCACTGAGCGCGCGACCGTCAGTGCCGACGCGTGCAGACGTCGAACAGCCTATGGAGGACGACATCGACGACGACGTGGATATCGACGACGGAGGCGCGAGCGACGTCGAGGACGAGATCCCCTTAACGGTGGCGGGAGCAGAGCACGACGAAAACGCGGGTGGGCTCGGGGCTTTATCAAGATTGCCCAAAATGTCATCGCCCACGTTCGTGCCTCGATCGAGCGTCGGCGGATCTGTGTCTCAGCGCGTCCGCGCGCGAGACGGCGGACTCCTGACGACTCGCTTCCAACGGGTGATGCAAAACGCGAAAATGGTGCACGCGCAGTTTCTCAAGCGCGTCGCGTCAAATCAGCTCCCGTCCTCAAGAGGCGCTTTGATGTTCACTGTGAACAACGCGCGTTTGGACGCATCTCTCACCAACTGCGCTGGATCAGTGTGCGATTTGCACCGCGCCACGAGCGATGATTACGCCGAGAGTGACATCGAACACTCGCGCGCAATCGTCATCTTCAACTCCACTCAGGCACAAGAGCTGAGCCTCGAGCGCGGACGCAGGGTCGCCATATACCCACCCTGGCGCGAGATCGACCTTCCTGGCCGCGTCGACGCTTCGACGTCCAACGTCGATGAAAACGTCCCCCGAGTCATCCTTTGCGCCCAAAATGTCCTCAGACTGGATTAACGCAGTAGAAACGTAGTAGAAACGCGGAAACACACGCACATAGACACACTATAGACATGTAAATTACAAAGCCGCCGCGAGTTCGCGAACGTTGATTAACCAATCAACTCGTTTCGCTCGTCACGTAAACTGTTTCAAAAACGCCGTGCTCACCGCTCGCCCCCGCGAGCTCACGCTCAACTTTTGTTCACTGATCTCCTTATCCACATCCTCCATGAACATCACCACGAAATCCACCAACGCTCCCACGTCCATCGTCTCCGCGTGCCGCAACAGAATCAAAAACGACACGTCGTACCCGTCCACCGGGACTCGTCTCAAAACCTCGAACGCGTCCGCCCTCCGACCCAGCGCTCCGCAGAACGACCGCGCCAATATCGTCTCCAACTCGTCGCTCTGTCGCACCCGCACGCTCACGCGACAGGAGTTCACGGCGCGTTCGATCAAACACTCCCCCTCGCCCTCGTCCCCGCGCGTGATCCTCACGGGCGCCCGCAACAGCGCCGGCGCGTCCGCGTACTCGATCTCGGGACGATCTCGACCGTCCATCTTCTTACTCGGCGCGCTCTCGAGCCGAAACGCCTCCGTGAGGGCGTCGCGAACGGCGTCGTGGTAATTTTTGTGACTCGTCGCCATGTATCGTGGTTGCGTCGACGAATGACGTCAGAGCGTCGCGCGCGGCGCGATCGATGGCGCGCGCGACGGCGCGTCGGACGCGCATCGACCGCGCGCTCGCGCTCGCGTCCGTCGTCCTCGCGCTCGTGCGCGCGCGGTGCGTCGAGGGCGGTTCTCATGAGATGCACAACCGTTGGATTCGTCGAGCGCTCAACCTGGAGCGCGGCGCGTCGGGCGGAAAACCGAGCGCACCGCGCGTCGTGGACGTGAACGCGGCGCGACGATCGGCTTGGCTCGCGGGCGCGGCGTACTGCAAACACGGAATACAAAATTGGACGTGCGCGTACTGCGTCGACGGACCGACGCGCTTGCGGGACGTCGGCGTCTTTGAACACAAGCGGAAAAGGGTCAAGGCGTACGCCGGGTACGATGGGAAAACGAAAGTCGGGGTGGTCGCGTTCAGAGGAACGGATCCGAGTTCGCTGTATAACTGGGTGGAGGACCTGGACGCGATGCACTCGACGCTGCCCACGGCGGAGGTGAAGGACGGCGTCGGACGCGTGCACAGCGGGTTTCACGACGCGTACGACAGCGTGCGGAAGGAGTTGATCTCGCACATGATCGACATGCGAACGAAGTATGATCGGATGTGGCGACACTTTGAGGTGGAGGTGACGGGACACTCGTTGGGGGGGGCTCTGAGCACGCTCGTCGCGCTCGAGCTCGAGGCGCTAGGATTTCAAATCAAGAGCGTGACGACGTTCGGGTCGCCGCGAGTGGGCGACGAGGTGTTCGCCGATTTTTGGGGTAAAAAGTTCGGTGATCGCACGATGAGAATGACGCACGCGCACGACATGGTCCCCAGCCTTCCTCCGAGGATGCTCGGGTATCATCACGTCGCGACGGAGGTGTTTCAAAACGCATCAGGCGCGTACATCATGGGCGACGGAAGCGGCGAGGACCCTCGCGGGAGCGATAGCGAGTGGACCCACGCCTCGCTCGCCGATCACCTCGTGTACGCTGACTTACCCATGTGCAATTGTAACATGTGAATACGCCGCAGCCAAGGGCGGCGCTGTACGCTTAGATTTATTTCACCGATTTCATTGTAAGAAAAGAAGGTTGTTTCATCGCTACTACATCTAAGTTATCACGCTCGTTCTCCGCGCGCTACGTCGTCCACGGCCAATACGGCGCCCCCCTAAAAGTTGGTCTGAGCGGACACATGCCCGCGCGCTCACCTTTCGCGCGAACCTTTGCCTCGACGTTACTCAAACCGGGCGGCGCGTAAAACGATACACCCGCGAACAAAATCTTCACCGCCTGCGCGTAAATCCAAAACGCCACCTTGTGCGGGGTACAGCCGTGTTTGATCAAGTTGAAGATCCCAGCTCGCTCGTTTCTACAATGACCGTACTTACTCTCGTCTAACCGCCCCTGAAAAGAGGCGAAGAAGTAATCCCCGTACTTTGTGTGGTTCAACACGTTCACGCGAAGCGTCAACTCCTTCCCCGGACGCGTGCTCGAGATGTACCACTCCCCCTCCATGTCCATAAACGGCGACACGTGTAACGACTTCGGCACCGTCCACGCGTTTTCATCCTCTCGCGGCGTCGGATCGAACGCGAACACCACTCGCTCGTTCCACGGCGTGTTCGTCACCTCCGCGAGCGCTCGTCTCAGCGCCCCGTCCGCGTCGTAACAGTAATACACCGAGATCGGATTCATCTCGTACCCGAACGCCGCCGGTGACGTCAACAGCATCACTTTACCATCCGTCTCGCATCGCTCTCGACACTCGCTCGCCGACAAGTGATCGCCGCGCGCGTCGCCGAACCACCCCGGCGGCGCGTCCAGGTCCACGAGCGCCCAACGCAGCGGGTACTCGAACGTTCGCCGCACCGGTTTCACCCGTCGGTGTCGCACGACGCCGTCGTAAAACACCACCCCCCGCGCGTCGTCCACGCCGCGCCACGCGCGCGGCGAGAGCGCGGCGAGGACGACGCAGACGCTCGCGATGGTGCCGTGTCCCAGCGCCCGCATCGCGAGGTCCAGCGCTTGCGCGACGTGTTGGAGCATCGCGCGCGAAGTCGGCACCGCGCACGCGGTCGTGCGCGCGCGCGTCGTCCGCGCGCGCGCGCGTGCGGGCGCCCGCGCGGGCGACGCGCGCGTCGCGGGATGCGCCGCGGTATATACATACCCACAGTACGTGGCAGATGTCCGAGTATGGATTTTATCTCGCGCGCCGGTCGCGGGATGTCTCGTCGTGTATAAATATACACAGTACGTATCACATGTCCGAGTAAAGGTTCAGTCTCGTGTGCCCCACGGGCTCAACACCAAAGCGCGCGTCGCGACACATCGACGCTCGGCGCGCGAGCGACCGCGCGCGCGCGAGGGCGACGCGCGAGGCGACCGCGCGCGAAGACGTCGACGCGCGCGATGCGCGCGCGCGCGGCGGCGCTCCAAGAGCGCGCGACGTGGGAGCGCGGTGAGACGTCGACGCGGGCGGACGCGTGGTCGATGCGCGCGCGAACGTCGATCGTCGTCGACGCGATCGATAGGGCGTGGCGCTACGCGTCGGAGACGAGGGATGAAGAAGACGTGTGCGCGAGACGGTCGCGTCGGGTGCGAGCGGTGACGTGCGCGACTGTCGGTGGGATGATGGTGATCGGGGCGCTCGCGCGGGGAGGCGGGCGAGACGGGACGGCTCGGTCGACGGGTGTCGCGCGGCTCGGTGCGTCGAACGGCGAGGCGTGGATCGATGATTTGATCGCTTCCAAGAGGTTGGATCTGGACGAGTTGGACTGCGGGCCGTGGGCGGATAAAACGTCGTTCAAGGATCCGAATTCGGTGGGCGGTTTAGGAAAGAAGTGGGTCGACGAGTTCGCCCAGGACACGACACCGGGAAGTTACGACAAGTTCTTCGACGGGCATCGCAAGTATCCGCTCGCGGATGCAAATATGCAGTCGAAGTCGCGTCAGTCGGAGCAGGCTGACGGGAGGGTCTACGGAAGACACGGGAACGCAAAGAGCACACTCGGGACGCTGCGCTCGTCAGAGACGCCAGAGATCCGCGAGTCCCCGTTCTCGAGCGCTGAAAACATCGCTACATCGACAAGTGCGCCGCGTAACGACGACGCAATGGACTCCTACGTCGGCGATCTTCTCAAGAACGTCGGCGACAGGACCATTGAAGAGAACGGCAAGACGTACGTCGACGCGCCAGATCTCGGTGGAACGTCAAGGCAAGCCAAATCTGGAGACGGATTGAATATCGCCGATTTATTCGTGAGCGCCGGCAATGCGAAGGAGTTCGCGAGTGGGAAGGGAGAGCATGAGTCGAAGTCAAAGTCGAGTTCAAAGCCGTCCTCGCACTCCAAGTTGAAACACTCCGGGGACGAGGAAGAAGAAGAGGACAAGAAGTCGTCTACGGGGATGCTTCAGAAGTTTTTCTCGAAAAAGGAAAAACCGACGCTCAAAAAGCACGAGGACACAAAGTCGAACAAAAAGACGACGAAGAAGGATACTTTTGAGTCCATGACTTTCAACGAGTTGAGCTTCGCAAAGAAGCCTTTATCGCTCAAGGACCGTTTGGACGAGCACGAACTTCGAATGAGTGGCCGTCTAAGCAAGTATCCGGGCAGTTCGTACCCATCGAACAAGTACCCGTCGAACAAGTACCCATCGAACAAGTACCCATCGAACAAGTACCCATCGAACAAGTACCCATCGAACAAGTACCCATCGAACAAGTACCCATCGAACAGACGCAAGGATCAGGATGAAAACGACGAAAACGACGAGGAAGTGTTTTACAAAGCGTCAGATCTTTTAGATTTAGGAGAGTATGATCAGGCCACTATCGACGATTTCAGGTACGGTAGAGGGCTCGTTCCTCGCGATGGCGGCTCGAAATCGACTGGTATCACCGTCAGTACCGATGTGGACGTGGCTAACTATCCGAGTGGGGGTAGCAGCTATCCGGGCGGAAGAACCAGTTACCCAACGGCGAAAACTGGGAAACACATTGGAGGGGGTGACGACGCACTCGACTTGGACGAGTTCATGTCCTCGCTCAAGGTTGACTCTGCCGGCGCGCACAAGCACGTTGAATCCCGGAAGAGACTACAAAAGGAGAAAGTCGACGCATCGACGAGCAAATTGAGTACGTCGGATTGGTCCGGAGACGAGGACTCAACAGAGCCGTCGGTGAAAAAGTCGTCGTTCGCCTCTAAGACGAAGGCGTCCAAACCGAAGCAAGCTAAAGCTCTCAGCACCTCCGATTGGTCAGAGGAGGTAGAAGACACTCCGCGATCGTCAACAAAGAGCAAGGTCTCTCCGTCCTCAAAGGACGCGTCGATGGATTGGGATGACGAGTCGGAGGAATCGGAAGGAGACAATTCTGGGAGGAAAATCGGGAAGATGTCCAAGGCTGACGCGGCGAAGTACCTCTCTAAGGTGAAGGGTCACAATACTAAGACGCACGCAAAGCTCCGAAATACCATCCCGAAGCTCGGTGCGATGGAATTGGACGACCTCTACGATGAAGGCCCTCAGTTTGATCAAACTGAAGAAGATGGACACAACATGCGTCACAGAACGATAGCCAAAGTCGTCGAAGCTGCCGCCGCAGAGGGGTCACCGATTGAGGCAAGTCTGGGCCGCAAGCAATCCACGACGATTGAGCCGGCATCGCATGATGAAATCATGAAAGGTGGGGCGTGGCGCAAGGTTGTCTTCGGAGGCAGGAACGGTCAAACGTATAGAAAAGTGCGCACGCAAATATTTGACGCGCATCCGGGAAATCCAATAGTTTGATAACATTTGAATCATAGCCGATACAAAATTACGCGTTATCGACGCGCTTCGTCTCTTCGCTCACGATACCCTGCGACCTCGTAAGTTCCGCTTGCACGAGGCGACCGACACTCGATCGGAATAAGCTTGTGAAAACGTAACAGGCGACAATCAAACCGATGGAGAGCCATCCTGTAGGCAAGACGACGTCCGTCAACGCAATGGGACAGGAGACAGAGAATGTTCTGAATGAGCGCTGTGCGAGCACGACGCCAAGTTGACAGCTAAGGATGCCGCTCACTGCTGCGCTGACGATGAAAAACTTGTTCCTCCCAGAGAGATTCTCCCATTTCGACGCTGTTGCGTACGTTTCCTCCTTCACTCTGTCTAGCCTATCCAACTCTTCGACCTCTTCGTCCACGGGCATTTCGTCTAAAATTTCGCGTTTATTCATTATTGTTTGCTCCATATAGTAAACGGCGGCCATCGACGTGGACAACATGCTCACAAACGCCAAGGCGAGGAACAGTGAATTCAGCAACCCCCACGTGCTAGAGCTACTAGCACCCGTACTGTCGCCGCATGAACCCACTTTCAACTGGAGCGCCCCGGCGACGGTGGTGTATCCGAGATAAAGTATGAGAACTGGACTCGTACCGATGCTCATTTGAATCACGCTCAGCTTCAGAATTCCGCACAGCACAGACGTCGGCCAGTCTGGTCCACCGCATAAAATGGCGATTTTCTCCCGGGAGAAACCCTTTTGCTCTAGGCAATAGCGGATCGCTCGCATCTGAAGCGAGTTTATTCCAACCGTATATCGAATCGACGGATACTTGCCGAGTTGCTCGCCAATCATCTTTTGCTGAAGAGCGCACGAGAGGAGTTTCGTGAACCAGCAAATACCGCAGCACAGTAAAGTTGCGGGCCAAAACCCAATCTTTGACTCAAGTCGCCCAACAATCAGAATGCCGCCCGTGAGATATACGGGCGGACCGGGCACTGGTGGAAGAAGGAACATACATACACCGATTAAGATGAAGACAAAGATTACGGTGATTTCGTTCAGCGAGCCCAGGACGTCGACGAGCCAAGCCAAAAAGAGAACAGCCATCTTACCGACACCGATGGAGAAAACGAAATAAAAGAGAGAAATGTACGCTGAGTACTTGAATATCTTTGTCGGTTGGGCAAACCACCAGGCGAGCATCTCGCGAGACTCCGAGGTGATAAAACCATCCTTTGGTGCGTCGGGGTCTTTCTTGTGCAAGCTGAATCCGAGTCGCCGAGCAAAGGCGCTTACCGCCGATACGGCCAGTGCGAATGGAATCAGAGTCATCGTCGCGCAGAATAACAGAGCCTTCGCGAGATCCGTCTTCGTGTAGCCGATAACTTTTTGTGCGAGCTTATTTTTTGTCACCTGTTGCGCGAGGCGTTTGGGCCCCGCGGTGATGAAGCACGCGATGGCAAACATGGCACAAAAGACGACCGCGAGCTGGATTGCGTCGGTTGCGATACCCATCTCGACCGGCGATAGTGCGACGCTGATCCAACTTCCAAAGCCGACGATAATGGCGAGAATCGTGACGAGTTGTAACGCGCCTGCGCCTTTCGCAAGTCTGGAGCACGAGAGTCCGTACACGAGGTTCAAAGCAGAGATGGCGAGCGGAGCGGCGTATATGATGTACACCACATTTTCGCACCCATCTATGAGATCGTTACCGGCTGTCGCCGAGGTGTCGCCACATCCCATCTTGAGTGCGTACGCGTTGAACATTTCATTGCTCCACCGCTTATCCCAAACAAACGACCATACGACGAACGCCGAAAAGGCTGTAAAGGAGACGACGTAGCTCGCGCG